ATGAATTTTGGTTGGTTGCCCTTGCTGCTTAATGTTATCTCATGGCTCAACTGATTAATTCTTAAAATAATAGCACTCAATTTAAAAGTATTTTCTATAGAAAAATATTTATTACAGACGTGATAAAGATTTTTTTTTTCTTTTGAGATGGTATAAAAAGTGCATTCCAATTCTTAAATTCATTCATTTGTGGATGTTTAAAGAATAAAGATATATATGGTTTAGGGTACAGGGATTTGTGAATTATTTTGATTCACGGAATGTAATATTATCGGTGGTACTAAAAGATTACCAGAGAATAAAATTAATGTGAATGTTGAATTTTGTGCTTGGTTGGTTTAACATGAATGTAAAATTACTGTGTTTGATTAAAGGAATAAAATATTATTGAAATATATATTTGACGAAATTGTCCTTATTATATATTTATTTTTTAACAAGTTAAAAAATATTTATATATTTTCTTTAAAAAATTTAAATTCATAAAATTTATATGATTTTTTTACAAAATTAAAAATATAAAAAGGTTTAATGAAAGGGTAAAATTTTATTTTAACCCCTGAACTTCATATAAAATTTTAATTATAGATTTTTTTTGTAAATCTAAAATAGTTTAAGGATAAATTTGTAATTTAACCTTCATAGAATTTTTATTATTCAATGACAGAAGAAGTATATTTTTTGAAAATTTTTAAGGGCATTTTAGTCTAAAACGACGGTAATCCAACAATACCTAAGGGAAGGAATGTAATAACATTCCCGGTAATATACCCAAAAAATCTACTCTTGATAATAAAACATTATCGGGTATGAGATTCTCGGCCAAACGGGAGAATGTAAGATTACTAGGGAATAAGATTATTTGGAATGTTGTATTTTGTGTTTGGTTCATTTAACAGGAATGTAAGATTACTGTGTTTGGTTAAAGGAATAAAAGATTATTGGAATGTATATTTGACCAAATTATCCTTATTATATATTTGTTTTTTAACAAGTTGAAAAATATTTATAAATATTTTTAAAAAAAATTAAATTCATAAAATTTTTATATATATATTTTACAAAATTGAAAATATAAAAAGGTTTAATGAAAGGGTAAAATTTTATTTTAACCCGTGAACTTCATATAAAATTTTAATTATAGATTTTTTTGTAAATCTAAAATAGTTTAAGGATAAATTTGTAATTTAACTTTCGTAGAATTTTTATTATTCGATGACAGAAGAAATATATTTTTGAGAGAAAAAAATTTAAGCGCATTTTAATCCAAAACGCCAGTAATCCAATAATACCTAAGGAAAGAGAGATAATGACATTCTCGGTAATATACCCAAAAAATCTACTATTGGTAATAAAACATTACCGGGAATGAGATTCCCGACCAACCAAACATGGGAATGTGGATTCCATTCCCATGAGAATCCCACATTCCTTAATCCAAACACCCTCAAGGTGTGTTTGGTTGGGGGAATGTGACCCATAGGAATGGAATCCACATTCCTTCGTTTGGTTGGTCGGGAATGTCATTCCCGGAAATCTTACATTATCAATAGTGGATTTTTTGGAGTATATTACCGGGAATGTCATTACCTCTCTTTCCTTAGGTATTGTTGGATTACTGGCGTTTTGGACTAAAATGCCCTTAAATTTTTTTTTTCTTTCAAAAATATCTTTATTCTGTCATTGAATAATGAAAATTCTACGAAGGTTAAATTATAAATTTATCCTTAAACTATTTTAGATTTACAAAAAAAAATTATAATTAAAATTTTATATGAAGTTCAGGGGTTAAAATAAAATTTTACTCTTTCATTAAACCTTTTTATATTTTTAATTTTTAAAAAAAATTATATAAATTTTATGAATTTAATTTTTTTTAAAGAAAATATATAAATATTTTCCAACTTGTTAAAAAAACAAATATATAATAAGGACAATTTGGTCAAATATACATTCGAATAATCTTTTATTCCTTTAACCAAACATGATAATCTTACATTCCTGCTAAACCAACCAAACACAAAATACAACATTCCCAGTAATCCTATTCCCTGGTAATCTTTTATTCCCACTGGCAATCTTACATTCCGTGAACCAAACGCACCCTTAGGGTTTAGGATTCTTACTTGAGTGATTATTACTAGGGATATGATTATTTATTTTAAGTCTTAGATTTCTTGTAAAATGAAATTATATTATGTGAAGATATAGTATAAATAAAATTATTGAAAAAAATATTTGTTATGAATATTTAATTATGTGGATGTCTATCTTTATTTATAAAATAAGATTTTAATGCATATTATCATTAAATCTCTAATATCCATTAGTATTAGAGTTGTATATCACATTTACTATTTATGGCTATAAATATAGAGGTACACAATTGAGATTGAGATAATAATATAGTTCTCTTTCTTTATTCTTGTATCTTCTTCTTTTTCTTCTTAGTGTTTGTTTCACTTATTTCATAGTAATATCATAGACAAGAAGTAAAAAATATAATAGCATGTAATTATGGTTCACAATTGAGAAATGTTAGAAGAGATGGAAACTGTTCCATTGTGGTACAAATTTCTATAGTGCCTACATTGTTTAGGTTCTTCTATCTCGAATGATCTAACGAGTCTCTACACAATAAAAGACTTGATAGAATTGTAGGTCAAATTTGAATCTCATTCCATTCTTTTTCCTCACCTATTCGGGGGAACTCATATATGTATATCTTGAACACTTACGGAAGTTGATATACAAGATCAACAGATCTTTTGTAGTCGATATTGACATTTGAACATGCGGTTATGATATTGGAGTATGAATACTTCATAGCTTGAAAGAAGCCACAATCACACCACCTTTCTTGTATATTCACTATAAAAGGGTTTGCTTCAATACCTTCAAGAAATTGTGATATCTTCATAACATGGAATAATATTTGAGGTCGTAACTTTCCTTTTTAGGTATACCATCTCCGTTGTGTTAGTATGATCTTTGTGAAAGCCTATCATGAATTGGATAAGAAATGAACTTTATATTGTGATGAATTCTTAATTTACAAATATTTGACTCAATGATACGAAGAATAATCTAATTTTGTTTATAAATACTCAAGATTAGAAGTATTTAGGGAAGGTATGATGATTATATTTGTTCAGTGGTTAAAGCAAAGGTATTTAAGATGAGCAGCAATGTTTGACCAATGCAGCCCCCGAGTCCAGAAAATGACTTTGTCACAATTAAACCATTTCTTTGGTTTATACAATATTACACTTAAAACCTTGCATGACGGGTTCTCATACACATACATATATATTCAAGGAAATATGCGATAATTTAGGTTAGGAAAGTGAATTTCTAAAATTTTAGAAAATTTTAAGGGACGATTATCCCTATTCACTTTTCTTCTTTCCATTCCTACGTGGATTTTATTTATTTCCGATCAAATTAAAAGGACTTTTCCATCTTTTCAACGACAATGTTTATAAGTTTGATGAATTAAACTAGAATTTTCCATCTTTTCACACCAACCATGCAAGGTGTATGGAAATTGATCATATCTTCTATCTCGCTATTAAGGATCCATTTAAAGCTTAAATATAAAATGACGTCCATCAAGCGACCTTAATGATAAAAGTGAATGCTATTCTCTCTAAATGTCTTGTGTTCAAATAGTCATGTCTTTATGATGCGTGTACATTTATTGTCAATTAAATAAAAAATTATTAACAAATATTATCTTATAATCACCTTAAACTACTAAAAACTTAATTTAAAAAAACTTGATTTGTCAAATTTTCATTTTCCAACTGCATAGAATCATCTTTTTCCTACTAAATACAAGGCATGAAATGACCCAACCACAGAGTTTGTAAGGGACTCTACCCTTCGATTTTAGGCATATGTCAATTTAAATATTTATTATTAGATGGAGGTCTACATATGGGTAGATGTATTCATTTGTACTAGAGCTCACACGTACTACAAAGCATTTCTGTTTCGCATGCGGTTCCTTGGGGCAAAGGAAAATTCCCCAAAACGTGCAACTTAGGGTATAACAACCATAAATATTATTGCTTAAGTCATTCATGACAACGTATAGCTTGTGGAAAGACTGTGGGGTTGCATTAGATTTTAACGGCGGGTGTATAAAAGTCGTACATGAGAATCTAATCAATCTATTAAGTAGCTTTAGTCATTAAAGAACATGTTGTTCTTTCTTGAGTTTTTAATTTAAACAGTTGCATCTATAAGATGTATGCATGTTGTTAATAATTAAGAAAAATTATGAACATATATCACCTTTATAATCACAAGACTATTGAAGAAAAAGAGAATGTCATACATGTTGATTTTTCCTAATCCAAATTTATTCTACAAATATCAAATTCACTACGTCAATTCCCTAATCATATGGTTTTCATATAAAATAAATAATTCATTACAAGTTCAATGAGATGACCTAGAAATGGATACATTTAACAAGCCATGAACCACTGTATCTACCTCATACACACATATATCTCCTTGTCTCAGCAGGTTGTCCCTTGCGAATTCAATCCAACCCCTCGTGAATTTAGCTTGCCGACTTCGCCGGTTGCTTGTTATCTTCACAGGCCACCATCTATCTTCAACCTTAAGTCTCACCATCTCGATATCCGGGTTCAAATATCAATCGACAATTGCAAATGGTATGCCATGCAAAACCAGTTTCCAGCATACTTCTATCATGGGATTATGGACGTAGAATAATGGACTGTAACATATAACTTAATCATGCTACCAAACGTTTTTCCTTGAGGTGTAATGGCAGCACAACTCTATTGAACAATGCAGACTGTGAGGTTGAGACCATTTCTATATCGGCTTTAGGACGCTGTGGAGTCGAGCATAAAGGTCCTGCACCAGAACCATTTCCCTGTATAAGTTAACTGAATATAATCCGTGTTCGATATTTACATTCGGAGTCCGAGTAACGTAGTTTAAAAAGCACACCTTTTGCATCTGCAATGGCCTGGAATATGTGTACTTTGAAGGAGATTTTAGTGTCATGATTTGTCATCTCTAGGACGCATACATCAACTTGTAAATTGTTGTCATCGACGAATGCCCTCCAACCATCACGGATTCTTCCTTTTGGATTTCTTATGTTGCTTCGTTGACAATACAAAGCCGGCCATGATTTCCCGTTCGAAAGACATATGTCTACATTGATTTTGGTGACGGAGCTCTCGAGATGTGTCCTGGAAAAAGGTTGCGGTATACACTGGCACAAAAACAAAATGCATAACAGTTAATTTAAAGGCTGGATACCCACACTCACCCAGCGTTTAAATGAAGAAAAACTAACCAATGAATGGTTCATATATGATGGTCGTAAGACAACAACAAAGTAAGGATTTTCAGAAGTGAAAGCCAGTGCTTTATGAAGAGCTGTTTCGTGGGCTATCAATGTGCTTCCAAAAGCTTTTTCACCCGCCTCCAGTGGCTGCTGCCATTGTCGATGAGTTGATGACGAGGCTCCGGTTTCACTTTTTTCAGCAGAGGTAACATCAGTAAAAGGTTGTAATCCATGAAAATATGACTTTTGCCTTCGAAAATGATAACTTTGAATGAAATTTCTTTACGATTGATTAACTCGAAGGCGCAGACAGCGCCGACTTGTATGTTTTTATCTCGTACGAAAGCACCCCATCCATTACAGAGTCTCACATATGCCCGTCTGTTGCTTCCAATTGTCGACATGGACTTGGCGGCCCAAGTTTTCCCATCAGAATCACAGAGAACAACATCGCCACTGTCCTTCAGATATAACCTGGAAAACTCTTTTGGTATTCCCTGCAGAAATGTAGCATTAAACACAATATAAACTTAGAAAAAATAACTCACACAGTAGCAACATTGAAATCTAGCATAGTTTTAGTAACTTACCACAGAACAGCTATGGTTGGTAATAGGACCTACATAACTCGGTTGCATGAAAGCCAAAAAGAATGGATTTATGGACTTGAAGGCACTGCGAACTCTTTGTAAAGCCATATATTTTTCATCAGATTTCGCCCTGCAAACCATACTCGATCGTGTTTCACTTGTTCCAGCTGAGGACCGTGCAGGCACAGGTTCAAACTTGGGAACATTTGGTCTCATCATCTTATGAGGCCGAGGACATTGCAGCCCTGGCTTCTCTCTCGAGCCATTAGAGATTCCATTTACGATGTTTACAAGCTCATCGTCTTCAGATTCTTCAACCTTCAATTCTTGTTTAACGTCTGGATATTTGATCTCCGTTGCAGTTCGATCAAATATGATGACATGAAAATGGCAACCCCCTTCATATCTGAAAACCAAGAAATGTCCAGGCTGCACCGAGTAGTGCTTTGCAAAGTTGGGCCAGCCATTTCGAAACCACATTTTGCCACCACATTTTACCAATTCTAATTCCCAGATTTTTCCATCTGGGACCTTAATGAACACAGGGTTTGAAAGAGAATTCCCATAATCTGTTGCAAATTTGGCAGGAATCCCCTCTTTAACCAAATGAACAAAACTGCAGACATTAACAACAATAAAATAAGACTCCAAATGGCAAAAACCCAGATTCTCATTGAAATTAGACAAAACAAATCTTTAAAAAAGAAAAACACAGAAACTTACAAGTTTGCCACTCCGAGTAGCGTCTTCAAGAACTACCTTAAAGAAATGGCGCCCATCAAGAGAAGCCATTGTTGAAGAAATTAACAGTGAGCAGAGCTTTGAAAAGTGAAGTCAAACAAGTTCCAAGCTATGGTCTTTTTCAAAAGCGGTCCAACAATCAATGAATTTCCATGTTTCGTTTGGTTCAAGAGAGAGATCAGTCCACCAAGTATCCCTATTTGCATGCATTACACATCTTACCTCTGTCAGTAATTCACCCAAATGTCCAAATGGCATGGTCTCCATTGAAAATAAAGTTTTTTTTAAACCATTTTGGCACAGAAGGAAGTGATTGCAAAGATTGAAATTTGATTTCAAATACTTATCAGATAAGGATCATATATTGCGGTTGGATTAACTACTATCAATTTAAATTCAAAACCATATCATGTAATCTTTACCTATGATTTGAGTTAAATGATGGGATTTTGTCAATGGGTTTCTTATTCTGATTTGGTTGTATTTATAGATTTGGAATCTGCTTTTTACAGAACAGGTTCAACGTTGGCCATATGCAGCCATTTGTTTATTAGAAGTTTAAGTGATAATTTTAGTGGCAAGATATGATCTTTTTTCCCTTCTCCACTATAAATATTTACATGTTCGTAGCATCAAATTTGAATTAAGAAAACCCACTAAAGCATTCGTCTTTCTTCATTTTTTCTTCCAGAAAATGGCAAACAGAACACAATGGATATGGCCCGATCTTTGATAATTACTTGTTAGAAAAGGAAATCTATCAGGGTCTTGAATTGGTTTGCGTTTAAATTCTGATCAATTTATCCAATTTCCTGGTGGGGCTTTGCATCATACATCAATCAGTAAAGGACGCCATCCATCGATTCGAGTCTTAAGATTCGGATTACAACATCTGCAATCCTTTCCCTGTAATTAGCAGATCGATTCAAGTCTTAAGACTCGGATTAAGACATCTGCAATCCTTTACCTGTAATTAGCAGCACGAAAAAATTGTGTTTTACTCACCAGCACCTGCACCGGAGATTTCCCAACACTTCCATGCACTGGAATTTGACACCAAAACATAACATGGACAAAGTCTAGAGGAAAAACACTCAAGTTTGTCATTCTACAATAAATTCACAAATCAGAATTGAACTGCAGATGATAAACTTAGCGTTTTCTTTCTACAGGGAGGAAAATTGAAATGAATATCAACCTAGAGCAAATTCTAAGCTATGTTACTCCAGCTCTTCATTTTCCTTCAAATGCAATTATCCGATACATATATCGACCTAGGTATAGGGAATAGGGATACGAGTCATCAAGAACCTACCAAATATATAAAAAAACGTAGAAAAAAATTGAACATAGATTCTAAGTGGTAATAGTTCTGTCCTTGTACACTGCTTTGAGGTCACAGTAACAATCCAAAATGGTACATATTTCTGAAACTAACTGTACGAAAGCAAGCCCAAATGAGAGAAAATTTCAAGCAACAATAAACATGAGTTGACATATTCACCTTCTTGGATCCGAGAGTCTTGCGGATGAGCAGGGAATGCATATATGAGTACCTCCAAATCCTCTCCTGGGACTTCCAAATCTTCTGGTCAGACTCCCGAATTATTTAGCAAATGATTTTGAATTGCTAAATTCTGAAGTTATGCCTCAGATTCTTCTTCTGCAACCGTTGGAAGTGTACCCTCCCTGATGAATGCCGGGTTAAGGAACTTTGCCACAAAGGCCCACAACTTATAGACATCCTCAAAATTAGTAAGGAAGCTGAGTGATGCTGTAACGACTTCAACTCTAACGAACCCACTTTTCCTGTTATGTCGACCATTTTCCATCGGTTTGCACAGCGTTGTATCCTCAAGGTTTGAAACCACTCGTCGTGGGCTATCTAATATTCGTATGTGACTGAGGATACCTATACCAAGAAAGATACCTTCTCTTTCAGCCAACTTCTGTACAATCTCTGGATTAATGAGCCCCCGGTTTGATCCCTCAAATTGAAAGCCACTGCTGCACCCCTTTCATACTTAATTTTTGGGCCATAAATGTGAACAAGATTTGCCCTTCCATCTCCATCTGAATTAGGTAATTTGAGCTGCAGTAACGAAGTTACAAGCCAATTAATCAAAAATCGTAATCTAAGAGTGGTTTTATTGAGCCCTAACATGTTAATGTGATCAAGATGCCGACAAGATATCTCGGGCTCCCTCCTGTCCCAATCTTGTCCATCACCATGTTCTCCATCACTGGTGTATTCTTCATTATCAAGGCTGGTCCCAGATGCTTCTCCTGGCTCCAAAGTACAGCTCGTGTTCCCTTTACGACTATCCTCTATGCTAAAGGAGACCCTTCTTCCCCTACTAGGATGTTCATCTTCTAACCCAAAAAATCTACCACCATTATACTTATTTCCTTCCCTCCTCCCCAGTAACCTAAATTCACCTTCTGTTTCTCTTCTAATGGCACTGTCTTTAATCTCCGAGGTAATTTCTGATGTTGAGCCATTTGCTAAGCCATTATTCTGAAAGAAAGAAGAATGAGATACAGACTCCACAGTCAGTGATTTGCTGGTATCCTGTTCTTCCTGGATTTCCAGAAGATGTGAACGATCTGAAGCCTTCTTATGAGTTCCTGCAAATTGTGCTTCACTTGGGATCTCCTTCAAACGGTCCAGTTCCTGTGAAACTGATTGAATGGCAGCATCAAATGATAACACATGCTGATCATCACGCCCCAGGTTAAGATCTTTATCATCATATATCGGGCTGCTATATATTGTTGATATTGGCTTCGGAGAGAGCTGCTTGTGGTTCTTCCTGCCACTAAACCAAAACGGTGGCAAAGGGGAGGATATTTTCTGTTTATTCAAATGACCTGCACTGTCAGACCCCAACGGACTCTGACCTAAGTCAATCCAGAATGAGTTGTCCAATGACTCATCTTCACTGAAGATGGGGCTTTTCATCACTTCTCCAATAGAAATACTCTCGCTCTCTTCAAATATGGTGCTTGTACCATCTCTGTCAGTACTATTATCTTGATCCATTTCTGTCTCAAATACATCCCGAACTTGAGCAGATGTGAACGCACCAGAAAAGGCAGGCAGCTGCATTCCTGGACGGTTTTCTGAGGGCTTATCATCATTCGCACCAACTTCATTTTCCTCGATTCCACCCAACCCATCAAGATCATCTACAGAATCACTCAGATAGAGAGGGTACTCAGGGGCAATCTTCACCATTCCAGAACCAGTCGACCCAGACTGGTTCTGAAGGCTTCCCATAACTGATTTTTTTATAAGAAGGCATCCAAATCCAGTTGGATCATATCCAAACACTCTGTAGAATGATGTAATAATGAAATCCGGACGAAACAACGACAGGCCGAGTGAATCCATGTCTTTGGGACCCAATGAACCAGCATCTAGCAACACATGCCAATTGTTCTGCTGAGCCAATGCCATCCACTGGTAAGTATACTTAGCCCCCGTCACCCTAGACTGCACCGGAAAAACGAAAAGACCAGTAGCACAATCCTTCTTCCTCCTCTTTTTATTAGAAATCCGCTTTCTCAAATCAGTGGAACAAAGTTTAAGTGTCGGCCATTTAAACCAAGAACTGTAAACTTTTGCACCCTTTTCCCTGGCACTCTGAACCATCCAATTTACAGATTGACTCTCGTAATCAAACATTGTCAACAATTTCTTATTCGTTTGAAACGGATAGGAATCGGCCAGCAACTTAAACGCAGACCCCCTACTCACAGTAAACACAAGGCCATATTCATGTTCAGGAATGTTCAAGTGATCCATTATCCTACTCTTTATATCGTACTCCACAGTGCCTTCCTCAGCACCACCATAAAGTGCATGATTACTCAAATTTGCAGTGATCTCAGACAAACTAAACGTTGAGGATTCCCAGTAATGCAAAGTTTGAACATAAGAGAAAAGCCCGAATCCGCAATAATCAAGGCATACCTTGGGTGACAAATGTGAGTACTCATTTGACCTCAATTGATCAATCTTCTCTGATGACTGGTACTTTGGGTACATTGTGAGGAACTTACTGAATGCCTCATGGACATCAGGGATGGCATCTTCACTCTCGTATGTGCGCTCGGCAGCGAGGGCGGTAGCTCGCAAGAATTCGCGCTGCACATTGAGTCTTGCGAGGGATCTCGATCGGCCCAAGCTCTCATCTTGATTGGCTAGTGAATCGGGTTCGATGTCCTGGGACTTGAACAAAGACCCTTCTTCAGAAGCCTCTTCGAGAGCTTCCCTGAGCTTGGTTTCATGGAGTTTCCGGAGAATTGAAGGGTTCTTCTTGGTTTCAGCAGCTGATTCAGACCCGTCATCCCTTCTCTTTCCCTTCTTGTCTAAGATCAGAGAAGCACAGTGAGCTATGGGTTTCCACAGTGAAAAATGCATCAAAGCTGCAAAGTTGAGACAAAACCCAGGAAGCAAAACAGGCTCGAGATTCAGCACGCAAAAAAAGGGTTTTTATTTTTCAACACGTCAGACAAAAAAGAACCCAAATCTTTTTTTTTCAATTTTCGAACTTTAAGGCTCAGAGGAAAAGGGAGTTGTATTCAGGTCAAAGAAAGCCCTAAATTCGACTAAAAGGGATTCAATCGAGAGAGTGACAACAACAACAACAACCCATAGCTCAGACTCCAATCCGAGAGTCATTTCAAAACCACAAAAAGGAAACTAATTCAGGGGCAAAAAACCACAGAGAAGAAGCCATTTTTGCAAGTCAAAAGCCAATTTTTTAAAGAAGATTACAAGAAGAAAGACAAAAGCTAACCAGTCAAAGGCTAAACACTTGAGAAAAACAAGAACCACGAGGTTTAACAGTTACAAATTTCAACCCAAAATCCATAGCTTTTCATTAAACAACAGGAAACAGTTGGGTTTTCTCTATGTTTCTCTCTCTTAATTGCAACATAAACCAAATCTAACTCCTTTACATCAAATGCACAATCAATAGAATTTATAATTCGATATTTCTCTTTCATTGACTCTCCAAGAGGTCCCTCTTAACAAACAGTAAGAACCGGAGATTGATTTCATAAATCAAATTAAAGAGTGCTTCTTACTGTGTACATATTTAATTTATAT